AAGAAATCAGAAAATGAGAGGTGTGCTTTTTAGGAGTGGTAGAGAGCTCAATTTATAGGCATCAGGCTTCACCGAAATGGCCCGTTCCAAATTCGGAATAGCTCGTTCCAAATTCAGAACGGCCCGTTCTGGACCTTTAAATCATGGGTAAAAATCACATCCAGAACGGCCGTTCTCAAACCAGAACGGCCCGTTCTGGTGTTCATTTATTACTCACAATGGCCATATTTTGAAAACGGCCCGTTCCAAGCCCGTTCCCACTTAGAGTTAAAGGCAGTTTTAATAGTCCGGAACGGCCCGTTCCAACTTGAGAACGGCCCGTTCTGGGATACTAACTCATATACATTTTGGTAGTTTGGAACGACTCGTTCCAATTCCGGAACAGCCCGTTCCAAGCTACTAAAGCACCCCTATACATTTATAAAATTACCAAAATACCCTCAATTAAAATAAAATAAAAATATGAAATAAAAATTGGGGTGTTACAATTACCCCCTCCTTTTAGAAATTTTGTCCTCGAAATTACTTGAAGCAAATAAAAATGGATATGACGTTTTCATCTTTTCCTCTAGCACTCCCAAGTAGCACTTTCAGGTGTAGCTCCTCCCCAAATAACTTTCACCAAAAGAATTTCCTTTCCCCTAAGTTGCTTAACCATTCGATCCTCGACTCTCACCGACTCAATCACATGCGAAGGATCATGAATGTATTTCCGAAGTTGGGAAATGTGGAAAACATCATGGAGATTTGACAGATTAGGAGGCAAAGCAATTTGGTAGGCAACACTACCAACTCTTTTTAGAATTTGGAAAGGACCAATAAATCGAGGAGTAATTTTTCTGGATTTCAATGCCCTGCCAACCCAAGTCCACGGAGTGACTTTCAAGAACACATGGTCACCTTCTTGAAATTCCAAGTCCTTCTTTCTCCTGTCAGCATAACTTTTCTGTCTACTCTGAGCTGTCCTCATCCTCTCTTGTATCAATCTAACCTTATCAGTGATTTGTTGCACAATCTCAAGTCCTAAGATAACATTATCACCAGGCTCGCACTAACACAAAGGGTTCCTACATCTCCTACCATACAAGGCTTCATAAGGTGCCATACCTATACTAGAGTGGTAACTATTATTATAGGTAAACTCTATCAAAGGTAAAAGACTATCCCAACTACCCCCTTGGTCCAACACACAGGCTCTAAGCAAATCCTCTAAAGATTGAATAGTCCTCTCAGTCTGACCATCAGTTTGAGGGTGGTAAGCTGAACTAAGTCTAAGTTGGGTCCCCAAAGCTCGTTGTAGGCTCTCCCAAAACCTAGAGGTGAATCTAGGGTCTCTGTCTGAAACTATGCTAGATGGTATCCCATG